CGACTCGACGGCACTTAACAACAACAACAACAGTACATATTTTAAGTCCTCTTCATTTTCAGCAAGCAAGGTTGTATCATCTGCATATTGCAGTTGCTAATGAGTCTTCCTCCAATTTTGATGTCACATTTTTCGTCATATAACCCAGCTTCTTGTATTATTTGCTCAGCATACATATTGAATAAATAGGGTGAAAGAATACAACCCTGACACACACCTCTCCTAATTTTAAACCATTCTGTGTTCCCTTGCTCTATTCAAACATCTGCCTCTTGGTCTATGTACAGATTCCTGGTGAGTACAATTGAGTGTTCCAGAATACTCATGCTTCACAATGTTGTCCATAGCTTGTCATGATCCACACAATTGAAAGTTGTCAATAAAGCACATGTAAACATTTTTATAGTCTCTGCTTTTACCCTAGATCTATCTGAAGTTAGCAATGATATCCCTTGTTCAATGTCCTCTTCTTAATCCAGCTTGAACCTCTGGAAGTTCTCTGTCAATGTATGGTTGCACCTGTTTTTTTAATTATAGTCAGCAAACTTTTACTTGCATGTGATATTAATTATATTGTCCTATGATTTCCAAATTCCTTTGAGTCACCTCTCTTTGGAATGGGCACAAATAGGATCTATTCCAGTCAGTTGCACAGGTAGCTGTAGTTCCAATTTCTTGGCATAGATGAGTGAGTGCCTCCAGTGCTGCTTCAGTTTTTTGGAAGATTTCAGTTTGTTTTCCATCAATTCTCATTGCCTTGTCCTTTGCCAATGCCTTTGATGCACCTTGGACATCTTCTTTCAGTATCATTGGTTCTTGATTATATGCCACCATCTCTTTCTACAGACGTAGTCAATCTGATTTCTGAAAATTCCATCTGGTGATATCCATGTGTATAACTAACTATACATTATGTCGTTTATAAAAGGTATTTGCAATGAAGAAGTCATTGGTCTTGCAAAATTCTATCATGTGATCTCCAGCATTGTTTCTGTCACCAAGTTCATATTTTCCAACTATTGATTCTTCTCTTTGTTTCCAACCTTTGCATTCCAATCACCAGTAATTATCAATACATCTTGATTGCATGTTTAATCAATTTCAGACTGAAGAAGTTCATAGAATTCTTCAATTTCATCATCACTGACATGTTGGTGTATAAATTTGAATAATAGTTGTACTAACTAGTCTTCCTTGTAGGCGTATGGATGTTATCCTATCATAGACAGCATTGTACTTCAAGACAAACTTGATATGTTCTTTTTGATGATGGATGTGATGCCATTCCTCTTCAATTTTCCATTCTTGGCATAGTAAACCATGTGACTGTCAGATTCAAAATGGCCAATACCAGTCCATTTCAACTCACTAATGCCTAGGATATCGGTGTTTATGCAGTCCATTTCATTTTTGACCATTTCCAATTTTCCTAGATTCATACTTTGCACATTCCATGCTCTGATTATTAATGGATATTTACAACTGTTTGTCTTCATTTTGAGTTGTGCCCCATCAGCAAATGAAGATCTTGAGGGCTTTACTCCATTCATGTCATCAGGATCAACTCTACTTTGAGGAGACAGCTCTTTTCCAGTCATATTTTGAGTGCCTTCCAACCTGAGGGCACTATATCTGACAAAATTCTGGTTTCAATATTCTATATTCTGGTGTTGACAGTGTGCCACTGCTATTCATAAGGTTTTCAATGACTAAATATTTGGAAATAGTCCGTCTCTCCTTCTTTCTAGTTTGTCTTTGTCTGGAAGTTCAGCTGGAACTTGTCCAACGTGGGTGACCTTGCTGGTATTTAAAATATCCATGGCACAGCTTCCAGAATCAAAGTAACATTCAAACCACTATGACAAACTGACAGACCAGTAGTGGAATTCATACATACACAGGTTTATTCCAAACAAAACGTATTTAAGCATGTCTCTGTAATCAGTGGATGGCTTCAGACAAATATCTCAATAATACACTTGTCTTAGTCTCCTTAGGATACTATCAAGATAATGAAAATTAGTTTTGGAATAAGTTGTAAACTGAAACAAGTCTTAGATTTACCGATGCAATCTAGAGAGCAAGGTCCAATCAAAATAGTGGCTTTGTAGGGGATCTACTGGGCCAGTTAAATTTAAGGCAGAGAAGTCAGCTCAGAAGGTTATGTTTGGGGAATTCCTAAGGAATAATCTTGATAGATTTTCTTGAAGGGCACAGGGTGATTACAGAGGCTTATTAGAAGTTTTAAGAAAACTGCATGGGTGAGAAAAGGACAGGAAAGCTGCACTAAAGAATTTTTTTGTTGTTTTTCCACCACAACAATGCACCTGTTCGTTCTTCACAGGTAATAAGGACTGTCCTTCAAGAATTTCATGGGGAAACCTTAAACCACCTACCCTACAGCCCTGATCTTTCCCTTTCAGTCTTCTTTGTGTTCCCAAACTCCAAAAATATTAAAACGAACACTCTTGAGTCCTTTAAGGATGCCAAAACTACCATTTTGATAAGCTATAACATAAAGAATATAAAGGAAGGGTTACAGAGATGGAAACATTTCCCACAGAAGTCCACAGACCTAGATGGAGGATATGTTGAGATGTAACAGCTTCACATTTTGATATTTTTGTTTAATAAAGGTCTCTCTGATTTTATAGCAATGCTTTTTCATTTACCCTAGTATTGTGTAGCATAACAGTTATGAGTTTGACTGCTAATCTCAATGTTAGCAGTGCAAAACTACCAGCGGTTCCGTAGGCGTAAGGTAAGGCTTTCTGCTCCTGTAAAGATTTACAGCCTTGGAAACTCTACACAAGGCCTGTGTGGGTCAGAACTGACTCCACGGCACATAACCACCAGCAGCACCAGTATTCATGGGTACAGAACTGTTTCCCTGCCCACACCTGTTAGCTTGCAGATCTACCTCCATAGTCATTATCTTTACTTTACCTGCAATTAAAGCAAACCCAGTATGCCACGTAAAGCACAGTATGTACAGATGCTGCTTGTGTTATTTTCCACTTGGCTTTTGCAACATAGTTAAGTGGTCTGATTCACTCTTATTTTTCTGACCTGTCGTTTAAAGCACCTGGTTTTTATAACAGCTTGAGATTAAAAATCATAACTCTTCAGGATAGATGCTAGCTTCATTATTTAGAGGTAGTATTCTCTCTTAATAATGCTCTGCTTTGACAAGAAGATCAAGTAAGGGGAATCAGCCCACTGGAATTCAATAAAGTAAATGCCATTTTCTTTGCACTCTCTGATTGTTGCCTGCCTCTCCACAGCCCCAAGATGGATATCGAATGGTACAGCAGTTCCAGTTCCTGGGCTGGCCAATGTACAGGGACACACCGGTGTCGAAGCGCTCCTTCCTGAAGCTCATCCGCCAGGTGGACAAGTGGCAGGACGAGTACAATGGAGGGGAAGGCCGCACGGTGGTGCACTGCCTGTAAGTCCTGATGAGCCCACTCCAACCTCCTGTTCATCCTTTTAATTCACAGCAAATGGAGAGAAATAAGTAGGTCTGGGTGGAAGGAGATCATGAGTTAGTTAGGATCTGTCCACTCACTGAGGGCTTAATTTGCTTTGCCGAAAACAAGATAGGCACATTTTACATTTGCACGCTGTCTCACAGCCATCAAAACAAGCACTGAGCCTATGACTGGGACCCCAATCATTTTGGGTGGGATCCTTCCAGTTCCTGAAAACTGTTAGGCTTTCAGAAATGTTGCAAGCTGGTTGTCAAAGTGCTGGTAGTTTGAAATCACCTGGTTGGGCGGGGAGGAGTATTACCCACTGTCACAAGTCAATCCTGTCTCATAGGAGCCATACATAGGGTGGTGGAGACTCCGGGTCCACACTGGAGCAGATTGCCTCATCTTTCTTGAAGAGCAGCTGGTGCAGTTAGCAGTCCAATGCCTAACCCACAGTGCCACTAGGACTCCTTATGTACACCACAGAATTCAGCAAATGCACCATGTCAGTCCCCTGCTCCAGATGGTTTATCAGCAAACGACCTAGAAAGTCTACTAGAAGTCACGTCAGAGGTTTCAAAGGAGCTTTGAAACTTTGGGGGTTTCAAAAATAACTTTTTGTCTGAGCATGTGGGGGAATTTGGTTAGAGCAGTAGTTGTGGTTGTATGCCACCAAGTTGATTCCAACTCATTCAGACCCTGTGAGGCTGTAAATCTGTACGGGAGCAGAAAACCTCATCTTTCTCCTGTGGAACAGCTGGTAGATTCAAACTACTGACCTTTCCGTTAGCGGCCCAGTTTGTAATCCACATGCTACCAAAGCTCCAAAAGTGTGATCTGCAGGCCAGCAGTGTTATCATCACCTGGAATGCTCTGACCTTCTGAAACCCTATACAGGGTCACTATGAATGGGAATGACTCAGTGGCACTGGGCATTCTGGGAGTGGGCCCTCAACCCTCCAGGTGACTCTGATGCTCTAAAACTAGAAAATAGCTCTTACAATTAGTAGTTCTCAACCTGTTTGAAACATTTGAGTTTTTAAAAACAGAACAAAAAATCATGTCCTGGACACACTCAAACCAATTAAATCAATACCTCTGGTGGGGCTGACCAGTATTTTCTCTTTAACTCCCACATTATTGCAGTGTGCTGCCAAAGCTGGGAGCCACTGAATGTAGATTGTCATATGTTTCAAAGCACGTTCACCTGCATTTCCTCATTGGCGGTAACATGTAGCTAATCAACCAGCTGGAAGGGGCTGAATGGAACAGGCAATTAAACAGTCATGGCAGTTAGGGAAGATGTTCAGAGAATTTGTGGAAACTTAGAGCATAAGCGTATGTCGCTTTTCATTGGAGTATCATTAGCAGCACATAGTTACGATCTCTCCCAACTGAATGGGGAGAAGACATTTCACTGGGAGCAGACAACACTAGTGAAGATTGCAGACTTGGCTAAGGGCATGGCCTTCCCTCTTTAGGATGCCTTTATCTCAGGCAGTACCGCCCCTGTCCAGCTCCCAGGGCTCCAGGAAGCCACCCCAATCCTGCCTGCTCCTTTCTCTCTGCTTTGCCTCTCACCCAAATCAAAGTTGGGCAGTGTCTCATTCTGCAGGAAACCAGTATTACATTGGAAGCATCTTATCAACCTTGTCCTCAACCAGAGGTTCAGCTGTTCGTCCTCTAGAAAGTTGCTTTATTACTCCCATCCACGCTTGGTCTCCTCTGTCTTCTCATGGCCCCAGTGCATCACAGATCTCTTTGCCCCAAAGAAGGCACGGATAGTTTACATCCTCACTTGTATTTATCCAAATCTATGTAACCTCTCGTCAAAATAAAAGAACATCACCACACTAACTTGACACAATCCCAGCAAGGAAAACAGATATTTCAGAGTTTCTATTTTGATCTTCTGGGTTTGTTTTGTCTTGTTTGAGTTATTTTTAAGCCCATCCAAGTCTGGAATTCCCAGCACCTAGTGTTAGGATGGCAATGTGTCTTTCTTTTCAGAGCAGCAACAGGGCAAGTGCTTTTAGCCAAGGCTTACAGTCTAGTGGAGGAGCTTGAGATACCAAAGTCAGGTCTTTCCAAGGCTCCCTTCCAAGAGACAGCTATGACCCTAGAACAGAAACGCTTGCGTAGCTAATCCATTTGCTATAGAAGACAAGGAGCTAGTTTTCAACTGTACTGGGCTGGCGTGGACATCTGCTGTTTCAGCTCTCCCACCTATCCAGCAAGCCTTCTCAGTAAGAGAACATTGACTTTCCTTTGGGGAACCCTTCTCCTACTTTAATGTCCTTGTGGTTCCCAAACCTCCTACTTCCTCTTTATATTAAGGGTGGACTTATGACCCATACCTGGTTAGAATATTTATTTTTGTTTAAATTTATAAATCTTAAAGGTAAGTGTTTTTTTGTTGTTGTTTTGCTTTGTTTTTTGCTCTGAGAAACAAAGTTTGTTGCTGGTAGTGCACGATGCTTTGAATCACTACTGTTAATTTCCTGGTCTTCTGAGTTCAGCCATCACATTCAGCATATTGTAGTGCCACCTGCTGGCTGTGGGTTGAGTACCTGCCCGTAGACACAAACATCAGTTGCTATGTTTGTTTACCTTGCTATTCAAGGTAAACCAATAGTTGATGATTATTTTCTTGTGCATATCTGCCATCTAATATAACTAACCAGAAGAAATGATCAATTAAAATGTTCATGAAAATAATGGATGCAGATAATGATCTTTGACAAGCTTCAGAAGAAACATGGTGTGTCACTAGTGCAAGGATAGAAAATCGATCAGTGGAGCAGAGGAGAAAATCCAGGAGCACTCCTTAGAGTGACTTATTTATAAGAACCAGCCCAGCCAATGGAGGCAGCAGGGAAGAGACTGTTGGGAACATTTGCTCTGCCTCCTGACACCAAATACAGAAGTCAAGTCCAGATGGAGCCTATACCAAAATGTGCAGAGAAAAACAGCAAAGCTTCATGAAGAAAACTTGGCAGAAAATCTTCATAACCATAAGCTGATCAAAGATTTGTTCAATAGAACATAGCTCTCCATCCATAAAGGAAAATACACTGTCAGAGCGACTCTGTACAGGGCTTCCAAGGCTGTGACTCTCTGCAGGAGCAAAAAGCCTCATCTTCCTCCTGTGGAGTGGCTGCTGGATTCGAACTACAGACCTTTCAGTTAGCTGCCCAATGGGTAACCCATTCTACTACCAGGGCCTCTTGTTGATAAGCTAGACTTTATCCAAATGAAACACTTTTATTTATCAAAAGATAGAGTGGAATACATTTTTCATGATATAACACCTATCTGACAAAAAACTTAAGGTCAGAAAGTCTATGAACTGTGCGTGAGTCAATAGGAGAAAGACCGAAAACCTTATTCTTTAAAATGGACACAAAACTTGACAGTTACTTCATTTAAAAAGAATATCCAAAGAGTGAAGAAATATAGGAAGAGTATTCACCATCTTTAGTTTTCAGGAAAATACTCACTGATTCCAGGATTGCATACCATGACATATTCAGCAGAATGACTGGAAATTAAAAAACAGGTAGACAAATATAAGAATACCAACTGTTAGTGAGGATGTAGCATAAGCAGAACTCCCACCCACTCTCATACGGAGTGAACTTTAGACTTGTCTGACAGCATCTACTAAAGCATAATACACACTTACTCTGATGGAGTTCTCTGTTCCGAGACGTACACGTCTGCACCACAAGACATGTCTGTGTATAGTAGCTTTACTCATAATGCCTGAAAACTGGAAGCCACTCACATCATCACCAGCTAAATTATACAGCAGTATAGCGTAGTGGTTACAAATCCGGCTGCTAACCTCAAAGCCGGCAGTTTGAAACTACCAGCTGTTCCGTGGGAGAAAGATGAGGCTTTCTGCTCCCGTAAAGATTTACAGCCTCAGAAACCCTCCGCAGGGTCACTACGGGTCGGAACCGACTCCACAGTACTTAACAGCAGCAGCAGCAGCAGCATATTCATTCAGTTAGGAGGCCTGGTGTGGCACTGTAGAATAAGTGCAGAACCACAAAGGTTGACAGTTCAAACTCACCAGCCGCTCCCTTGGAATCCCTACATAGGGTCGTTATGAGTCAGAACCGATTCAACAACACTTAACAGCAAACAACAACAAATATCCATTCATTGTGACACTGTAGAATAAGCACTGAACTACAAACCTCAAGGCCTAAGGTTCAAACCTACTATCTGCTCCTCAGAAACCCTTTACAGGGTCGCTGTGAGTCTGAGTCAACTGGACGGCACTTATCAACAACAATAACATATTCATTCAGTGAACTTCTGCTACTGATGCAACAACATAGTTTATGCTCACATAGATACTATTGATTAAAAGAAGCAAAGCTCAAAAGGATTTATACTGTGTGATTCCATTTATACAAAATTCAAAAGCAGGCTAGCAATGAGAACAGAAATTACCTGTAACAGTGGTGATGGTTTTGATAGTGCTGACACATATGGATGATGGTCACATGGTATGCACATGCATGAAAATGAACTGAGATATAAGCTTACCATTTGTAGACTCTATTGTAGACATATTACACCTTATTTTGAAAGGTGATTTGGCACTCTAAAATGGATCCAGAAAATGCCATGATCAATCTTAAAATAACAAAAGGAGGGACAACCAGGTATTTTGTGCCTGCCTCCTAATGAAAGCATCCTTGTCAATCATTCAATCCCAAATCCCTATCAAGACCTGAGGCTAACTATCAGTTTACAGAAAGCATAGGTTAGAAAGGAACATGACAAATGATACCACAAAGATAGAGTGAATGAGAAAAACTCAGGATGCAGGTATATCTATAGGACAAATGACTCAATTTTCTCAACAAATTGCCAGGAAAAAGGAGGAAGAAAACTCTACAGATTCAAATATTTTGCAAGACTTGCTAAGCAAATGCAGTGTATAGAGCTGAATAAAGCAACTGTAAGAACATGGCTGAAGCAACCTGGGAAACTTGAACGCTAACTAGAGCCTTGATGATATTAAAACAGTGTTTATTTATTTTAGGCATGATAATGACATTGTAGTTGTTTGAAAATGGAATAAAATAAACTAATAGGAGCCTATAGATCCATGGAGACGTGGTTTATTTTGTAGTTGGTGCAGGAAAAACACAGGATGAACCTGGGACATCTCATGGTTACAGAAAGTAAGGAAGTGCTCAAAAAGGAAGTGGGCCTATCAAAGGAATGCAGGAACCTAACAGAAGGAGCTCCTAATGGTCCAACTGGGAACAATACGAGCAACAAAATAAATATTGGTTCTCTCCGTTATTAACTCATAGAAGAAAATTAATGTCTTTAAGTCCATTCCAATGTAAGTAATATTTGTATTATATAAATGTAAAAACTATTTTGAATAGGGCAAAGGAGACAGCTGTTTCTTTATTATTGTGTTTTTCATATTTAAATATTTCAGAAGTTTCATAATCCTGTAATCACATACAGTAAATATTAAACATACAGTATTCTCAGAGATTAATCAAATGCCACAAGGCATTTCAAATATTTAAAATATACATAATAAGTTCAATGAATATTTCTGGATACTCAAGTAGAAGAAAAAGAGGAAAATTATAGTTCTAAAATACTGTTCCAAGAAGTACACAGAAATAAAGCAATCTATTGTGGATGTCTATGAATATCAGAAACAGCTCTATTCTTGATATTGTGTCCTTTAGCTATAAAGAACATTTTTAAAAACACTTTATGAAGAAAGTTTATGCAGTTTTCCATAATTCATAGAACATTGCTGAGTGACATTGGCTACAACCTCTGCAGCGTGTCAGCATTCTCCCCATTCCCAGTGTCTGCATTCCCTGCCCCTTCCTGCCTTCACACCTTTGCTTTGGGGTACAGGTTGCCGTTGTAGTCCCATATACTTGTCCCATATTCTAAGAAGCACATTCTCATGGGTGTTAGAGTTTATTTTATAGGCCAGTCTGTTACTTGGTAGAGAGGTGGCCTCTAGGAGTGACTTCAGTTCCATGTTAGAAGGGTGACTTAGAATGATAGTCTCAGGGTTCCTTCAGTCTCTCTATCAACCCATAAGTATGGTCTTTTTATTAATTTGAATTTTGTTCTACATTTTTCACCCATTCTATAGAGGGCCTTCTATTGCAGTTCCAATCAGATAAGTGGGTAGTATTAATAAGCAAGTACCATATAGTTCTTCTGATCTCAAGTTACCGGAAACTGGTCTAATGGCTTCCTTCACTCTCCTTTGCTCCAGGCGAGAAGAGACCAATAGTTGTGTCTTAGATGGCTGCTCACAAGCTTTTAAGACCCTCAATACCACTCACCAAACTATGATATAAGACATAAGCTGTATGAACTAAGTTATACCAATTGATCTAGATGTCCTGAGACTATGGGAAGAGCTGTTTCTTACAGAAAAATGTCAACAAATAAATGTCAAAGGAAAGAGGAAACTAGAGAATTACCATTAGGCAATTGTGGTGAAAATTGTTGCAAACAAGGTTCACCAGTGGATGTTCAAATTATTGGGTGGAGAAACAAGATACTTGCAGACCACCAATGAGTCTTTCCCAAGAGAGAAAGATGGTAACTTTACAGAGGAATAATCTGGCAGACACCATTTTAGCACATGAACAAGGTTATCATCACTAGTAATAAGACAGAGCTCTGGTAGCGTAGTGGTTACAAATCAGGCTGCGAACCTTAAGGTCAGTGGTTCGAAACTACCAGCCGCTCCGCTAGAGAAAGATGAGGCTTTCTACTCCCGTAAGGATTTACACCCTCGGAAACCCTGTACAGGGTCGCTATGGGTCGGAACTGACTCGACGGCACTTAACAACAACAACAATAAATGTCATGATCCCTTAATCAATGTCTTCTGAAGACCTTGCAATACCACTTCTGTGATATTCTTGCCAAAAATACATAAGCTGATTCCAGTCATGAGAAAGAGCAGACAAACCCAAATAAAGACACACTCCACAAAATAGCTGATCAATACCCTTCAAATGTGTCAAGGGCAAGAAAGACAAGGAATTGCTGAGACAGTCACAAATTGGAGGAGAGCAACCAGACATGACAAATAAATACAATGTGGGATCCTGGTTTGGATCCAGGGCCAGAAAAAAGACATTGGTGGAAAAACTGGTGACATTTGACTAACATCTGTCATTTCATTGGTAGTAGGAGAATTGCACCAATGTTTATTTCATGGCTTTGATAATGTCGTCATTGCTGTTGTTGTTGTTGTTAAGTGCCATCAAGTTGATTCCGAATCATAGCGACCCTGTATAGGGTTTCCAAGGAGCAGCTGGTAAGCTTGAACCACCAACCTTGAAGTTCAACTGACTTTGCAGTCTGGTGCATTAGCCCACAGCATCACACCAGGACTTTGATACTGTAGTGTCGTTATTTCAGATGTTAGCATTAGAGATAGCAAGGTACTGTCTGCTAAGGCCATTGCAGAGATGATGAAGGAGAGCATGCTGGGTTCTCAGCTGGATACAGATGAACTGTAGGCCAAATGCTGTGGCAGATTGGCTCCTTTGCCTCACCTGCCTCAGATGCCCGCATCATTACCAACTACTTGAGTTTAGCTGGCACGTTTCTGTGGCTTGAGTGAGAACAAAAGTCAAGAAACCATTTTATTTCTTTTATGACAGAAACGGCGGAGGTCGCAGTGGGACGTTCTGTGCAATCAGCATTGTCTGTGAGATGCTGCGGCACCAGAGGGCGGTCGACGTCTTCCACGCAGTGAAGACACTGAGGAACAATAAGCCCAACATGGTGGATCTTCTGGTAGGAGCATGCCTTTCTGTAACTAGAGCATCTCCCTGTGAGCCTGCAGCAGATGCCAGTGTTCAGTCAGGTCTGCTGGGAAACGAAATCTCAACAGTATAATGTAATCTCTACATTTGTGAAGGGTTTCATCTGCTCCCTCTGTCTGATTTTTTCACAAGGAGATTTTGCCTCAACTTGTTTGAAATGTAGAAGTAGTTGAAACTCACAAGTGCACATCCTTATTAATTTCCCCTCCTGGCAGTGCCTTCCACGTGGCTAAGCACTTAGTCTTCCTAGAGAAGAAATAATCATAGCAAAATGTGATGCCAGATTTCCAAATTATACATTTTATAAATAGCTTAATCACCTAATATTTATCAAAGCTGTGAATTTTAGTTTGACATCCAGAATATTGCACTTAATTATGGTGGCCATATCTGAGAGAAGGATTAAAGGAGTCGAGAAACAAAGGATGCTGTGCAATTATTTTCTGAGAGTATTGCATGAAGTCTCCTTTTTTGTAAAGCTGTTGAAATGCCAACCACTGTGACTCAAGAATAGTAGAAGAGCTTAAAGGAGGAAGCTTTTACATGAGGTTTTTGTACTTCTCTGTTAGGAGAGAAAGGATCTACAGAAAACTGCCGGACGAATCCCAGGGTTGTAAGAAAGACAGAACAGAACGGTGTGAGGAATAAATGACCCCATGTTGACAAGGGCTGTATTTCGCAGTCCACAAGGTTGTAGTTCTGAGATTAAATATATATTTTTTTAATTAAAGGGAGTAAATAGAGTTGAGATTCAAGTTAATATTGAGCAAGTAGTCATGGTCCCCATCCAAAATTTGAGAAACTGGCTGGGTAATGCTGGGACTACAGGGATGACCGGTTCCTGAGGTGCAGCCCAGTCCTGGTCCCCATAGGCAGCCTCTGTGGGGAATCGATGCTGACTCACAGCAACCCAAGGCTGTAAATCTTTGCAGGAGTAGAAAGCCTCATCTTTCTCGTATGGAGCAGCTGGTGGATTTGAACTGCTGACCTTGTGGCTAGCAGTCCAATGGTAATCCACTGAGTTACCATGATTCCTTTCCAGACTCTGTGGCAGCTGTTTTTCCCAGATATGTGCCTTATGTTTGAGGAGCTTGTCTATTTCCAGGAAACATGTGTTGGCCAGGGAACTTGGCAGGGGTCACTCTCTTACTACCATTAGCAGCTACTGCATTGGCTTCTGTGGCCAAAAGGAGAGTACTCCCCAACGCCTCCCTTCCAGTAAAGTCCACAAATTCTAGCATAGGCTTGCCTGCTAGTGCAAAGTTAAGTGTCTTAGCAAAATTAGTTGTCCTAAGACAAGTCACTTAACATCCTTAGTTTTGTAGAATAGAGATAATATTAGCTTATTGAGGGTATTCAATGGGAAAGTATTTAGAAACTGTATCCATGAGAAGTGTGATGGTTGATAGTGTGGGTGTCTTCAGGGCAGGATGTTTTAGGGCCACCTGGGCCAGTGTGATGTGTTATCTAGCAAGTCAGAGGACGACAAGAATGAAAAGAAAGAGCATCTACCATCTAGCATTCGTGTGCTGCTTATCAGGTGCCAGGCACTGTTCTAAGTGCCTTTCAAATACTAAGAGATTAAATGTGGAGTCAATGAAAAGTTGCCTGGCACCCTGAATGTGTAGGTTCACTGGAAGTAACTCCTCCTGGAAGGCAGAGGATACATCCCTCCCTGGCACACAAATGAATTTTAAGAGTTTCACTACCCCTGAACCCCCAGTCTTCTGAGCTGGTAGAGGGGTCCACATATGTAGTGGTTACAAATCGGGCTGAGAGCCTCAAGGTCAGCAGTTCGAAACTACCAGCTGTTCCGCGGGAGAAAGATGAGGCTTTCTGCTCCAGTAAAGATTTACAGCCTCGGAAACCCTGTATAGAGTCGTTATGAGTCGGAATCGACTCCACGGCACATCACCACCACCAATCATACAATCAGTCAGTACAGGTCAGAATGCTGGCAGAATAGGGAAACAAATGCATCAACTAAAGTATTCTACCAGTGACTTCACTTGGTATTGAATGCTTCCAATGGACAGATGAGTAGCTTCTAAATTTTGATACTTGGGGAAAGCTGATCTTGATAAAAATGTCATTTCTTTCTAACTGCCACCTGAATTAAGTGTAAAATTAGAAATAGACCCTCCAAGCCTTTCTTCTAGCTCTGGCTGCAGCATTTACCACTCGTGGATTTTCATGGGCAGATACAACATGATTTTTTTCCAAATCAGTGGTGCAGATGTGAGACAATGGCAGTTTTTCATGAAATGAATGGAGAGTTTGGTAGTTGTACCAGAAGAGAGCCTCTTATCCTGGCCCACAATCCTGTGTTAATCTGATTGTTTCCCCAGTTATGTGTAGTTCCAGTGGAACTAGTAGGTTCTCTGGATGCCCAAATCTCTGAGGGTCAGCACAAGTTTTAGGAAGGTAGGAAAGGTTTGCAATTTTCTGAGAAATGTGTCTGATATTTTGCCATGGTAACTGTTAGCAGGGTAGTAGATAAAATCTGGAGACTGGAGAAAAAGGTCACAGAGCTCTGTGCAGTGGGTTCGAGCATCCTTCATTGAATAACGGTGCTTGTCTTTATTTGGTTTTGCCTGTAAGTACAATTTCTATTTTGTTTGGTACTCACACATATGTTATGTTTTGTCTGTGGGAATTAATTAACTTAGGTCAGGGTGCTTAAAATCGGATATGATTTTATTGGTTGTAAAAGGCCATCTGAGACCTGCTCTTTTTTTTTCAAAGGATATAATACCAGCAGCTGAAAAAAAAGTGTGTCATATCTTCTTGTTGTGCCTTCATAGAAGGGTGCCTGCCACAGCATGTACCCAACAGCCCAGGCAAGCACTTCTGTACCAGCTGGCCTAAGGATGAGTCAGGCCTGCAGAGAATCAGCATGTTTACCTGTCTCCACCTCTCTCTGCAGCTCTGAGTTTCTGAATTGCCCCTGAGTTTCAAAAGTCATCCATTTGGCTTGAAGCATGACATTCTCAAGAGGGGTCCAGAAGGCTCTGAAGATTTGTTTTTTGAAAATTGTAGTTTGAAGGGCTCTGGAGGAAAGCCTGTTCATTGCCAGTGGAGCAAAAACCTTTCTAACACAAGATATTGTAGCCAGTGGCTTTCTCCTGGCCCTCTTTTTCAGCCCAGCTTCTGAGTTATCCATCTTCAAGCATCCTTAAGACCCCATCAAAGAACTGAGCCCCAAGAGAACACAGAATGGCACAGTCTGCCTGTGCTTTCCATGAGAGAGTCACACAGAGCACACAGGTTCCTTGGAAGTGATCTTGGTTGTGGGGAAACCATTTCTCCTCTCCATTGTCTCCTACATTAGGCTTTTGAAGTTTCCAGAGGTCTGTTTTAAAAGACACAGACTTTGAGGGAAAAATCTTACTTAGGGGAGTATTACTGGTCCTGTGTCGGCTAAATGGGGCCCTTCCACGATGCCTGTCCATGAATGGGCTAAATGAACAGCATTCCTCCCCCTGCCCCCTAAGGCAAGTGCACACAGCAAGCAATCATTTGGTTTTGAGCTACATGTCAGTCGGTACCTCTTGACTCTTGAATTCCAAAAGAGACTGGCCTAGTTCCCAGTATACAAATCCCAAACTTTTCTTGAGTTTTCTATAAATTGCCTGGACACTTTGAATCTTGTGGTCCTCGTTAACTCTTGATTCTGCATTGTGGAGACCCAGACATGAAAGTCATGCTTTCCTCTATATCTACCAGACAACAATAACAATACTCAGTCAAAACATTTGTTAACATCATATTCCAAAAACAAAAAGCAGAAAATATTTCCATAGATAACGTTTCCATCTTTCTAACTCTTGTCAAAAAATTCTGCCCTGTTCAATTTACACCAAGTCAGAATGGTAGTTATTCCTACAGGGACTCAAAAGTGTACCTTTTAAATGTTCTTGGGGTTTAGAAAATAAAAAGATACCTGATCAAGGCTCTAGGGCAAATGAGGTACGGTTTCCCAACAAAATTCTTGGAGGACAGCCCTCACTGCCCATGAAGAATGAGCCTGTGTACTGTTGCGATGGGAAAAATTGTGTTAGCACAACTTTCCTCACCATTGCAGTTCTCAATTTTCTTAAAATTTCTTCCTAATACGCCCCCATGATTGTCCTGTGCCCTTCAGGTAAATCTATCAAAATGCTCCCTTTGGGATCGATCCCAGATATCAGTTGCCATAACTTTCTGAACTGACCCCTCTACCTTGAATTTAACTGTCCCAGCAGGTCCTCTCAGGAGACTGTTTTGATTGAACCTGTTTTTGTTTTGTTTTTTTAAAGTTTTATTGTGAATTATGTGATAGTTTACATGGGAGAACACTAGTTTTACATTCATTCTATCGTATATCGTATCATTGCCATGGTTACAATCCCCATGCATCATCAGCCAACCAAAGGGGTATACACTACAAGCCTGCACTCCAGTCGTCAGCACACAGCCCCTCTCTCTCTCTGGGTCTAAAGTCTCCAACAGCTCCATCTCTCCACATCATCATCTCTGCCTCTATTTCAGGCATCACTGCTTCTCTGGATAGGGTCCTGCTCTCTGCTCTTCTCCCTTGATGGTCCCAGGGACTTCCACTTCTAGACTGGAAAGTTAATCACTCCCCTCCTTGCTATAAAATGTCTACCTTTACATTTCCAACCCTCACAATCGTCCTGATAACAATTATTCACTATTGTATCACAAGAGACCCATCCGCATTTCATTTAATCAGCCCAACCTAGACAGATTGGATACTACTCAGCGGAGATTCTACCTTCCTCCAGACCCTCTGGATCTAGGCTCCCTCTTCAAAGCTTGTAAGCCGGTCACTTCTTGCCTTTGTAGCCCCTCCCCTATTTTGGGTAGCCAATGTCCAAGTTGCCCGTCCCTGTCTACTCTATGTATGGAGAGGGTGGGAATGATCCTTGCTGTAAAGATCTGTTCACTCTTTTGAGCTACTGCATCCAT